GAGGCGGGAGCCGGCCGTCCTGCTCTCCTGGGAGGGCGGCAGCGGCCGGCGTGGAGCTTGGAGCAACCTGGTCTGGGGAAAGGTGTCCTCCTGCCCATGGTAGTGAGTGGAACAAGGTGATCCTTAAGGTCCGTTCTAGCCCAGGACTGTGGTCTTGTGCGTGTGGGCTGCCGGGGTGGTTGTTTGGTGGAGCCCCCGAGGCACCACTGGACCGGGATACCCCCATCCCATAGCCCTGTTGCCCTGGCACCACACTTGTGGGAATGGAGTGACCTGGCTAACGGGTTGCCTAAGCACCATTCTTAACCAAAAAAACCCTCAACCAATCCATCAGAATGAAAGTGGGTCCATCACACGCTTTTGTGTTGTGTCCCTGATGCTACCAGGGCAGGACAATGGGGAACCTGGCAGGCCCAGTCAGGTTGGCTGGCACAGGGTGACACCGCCCCATCCGTGAATCCTTTGGCAGCAAAGGAGTGTCGGCTACAGGGCACTGGTGATGGACTCCTTTGAAACACACCGGCTACCTTGAGTCAGATGTTCTTCCCTACTACTCCATTCACCATGACAATGAAATTTATTTCTCCATGGTTGGAGTATTTCAGGCCAGGCTTCTCATGGTGAATTTTCTGGATGTTTTCAGGAGGGTTTGCACTTGTTCACCAAGAGAAAGTTAGCTGAAGAGATGCTCCCTGACAAATCTTTTAGCACTGTTCAGGACTGGTCAAGTTGGGTTGTAACCACACCAGCTGCCAGTTCAGTTGTCATTCAGAGTAACTGGTCTGTTGGCCACGTACTGTGTGGTCAGGAGAGGCTGTAATCTCATCATTTCATTCACCCACCAGGAAGGATGATGCAAGTTCAGTGATTTGCAGTTTGCTGATGGCCTTTAGAGTAGGGCAAGCTATTACTCTACAAACCTTGGCAGAGAGATGAAAAGAAGTTCTCTTCCAGATCTGTATCTCAGCAGAAAAAAAGTATCATCAAGAAGTAAAAGAAGATATTTTTACTAACTGCCCTGTTGTGGATGTCTACAAGGAGTCTAATAGAATCCTAATGCTTTAAACTGTCTAAGCAGTCTGAGCAGTGAGTTTCATATAATGATGTTTCTTTGGAATGAAAAGTCTTTGGGTTCTCCTGAGCTCTCTTCATTGAGAAGTGAGGTGACTAAACGTTTGCAGACAGTCCAGTTTGAGAATTGAAGTGCAACTTCTGTTGCCTTCCTCACTCCATTGCTTGTGTCGCACAAGAGCTGAAGTGGTCTCCACACTCTGGCTCTGTTCTGACCTGGGAGCAGAATGCTGTCTTTGTAAAGAAGCTCCTCTTGGGTGGAAGCTGCTCTTATCAGTGAGCATTTCTACTAAATACTTGTCAGTAGATCGACTCTGTGGTCTGAGGACTGAGTAGGAAGGAGAAGATCAAGGGATTACAGGGAGATATTTCCTAGGGAGGAGCAAAATCTTTGTGTGTGTATCTTCTTTATCCTGATCTTAGCAGGTAACTTAATAACAGTATCGAGCTGTAGGGTAGAAGTTGCAAACAAGCAGCACAGGGCAAGATACCGAGCTGTTGTTCTGGAGAGACATTGCAGGATGGGTTTATGGTGTTACCTTCTCAAAGGCACCCTGAGATAGGATGAACAGGTGTGGTGCTGCTGTTGTCCAGGTGCTGTGAACACCAGCATGGTCTGTGCTGATCCACACAAGCTTCCTGGAGAGAAGCTGGTTACACTGAGCTTGGTGATGCTGAGAAAGCTTAGATTTGGGGAAAATCTTAGTTCTGATGGCTGCTGAAGTAAAACACAATTATGTACCTCCTGTGTCCATCTGCTCAGTTCTTCATGTTACTCCTGGAAGTACAAGAAGGTTGGTACAAAGACTGGCCATCAGTCATTCAGGTGATTATTCATGCAGGAACCCTTCGAGCTGTCAGTGGCTTCCCTGT